AGTGCACATTTTCATGCAATTCACTCGCCGAAAGTCGGAATTGAAGCGAAGCCAAGCAATCGTATCGAATGTGTGTTGTACAGAATAAACGGTTGATTTCGCTATCGAGCATAACGAAAAAGTTGTCAGCCGATGTTTTTCATAGTTTTTCGGATGAGTGATAAATAGATAATCTGTTTCGGAACAACAGAATGTTCTAGGATCAGCCAGCTTCCGAATCGTTTGTTTGATTTCATCATGAACAATAAAAAACGCACACCGCACACATACACATCTATATCGGGGTTATTGACATGAATCAACTTCTAATTGAAACAAACACCATTTTAAATCGATCGGACGAACGAAAAATTGAGCCGCACTTCGGTTGTTGTGCAGTGTTACAGGCACAGGGCAATGACAAAGTGCGGCAATATGATGCAAGTGCTCAACGCAAGGAACAACGAATGAACATGACATTTGAGTTTACATTGCAAAACGCAAAAGAAGCTCACAAATCAAAACGAAAGACTGATACGTGATTTTAGTCAAATCACAACCATTTTATCGCGCTCACAATGAATTTTTAATTTTTATGAGATGCCTTGACAGATTATTGATTTATTAGGGTATTGTGCGGAGATACAAATTGATTTTGTTACATGTGCTTATTAAAGTTGCTTAACTTATAGGAAGGACCCTACGAAGGTTAGACACAATGTGTCGAATATTAAACGAAATCAGCTGATTGAATCGCATGAATGTACCAATATGTTTGACATTGGAGGACCCTATGTGAAAATATTTAAAGTTGTTGGACAAGACTGAATCCAGAAAAAATTCACAGAGAAATTTTTTTTCCATCTTATCGTTATTTGGTTTCTTTTCAAGATTTCGAAACTGACAATATTTTGGTATATCAAAAGGACAATCGAATGTTTCACTTTTCGTCAATTGAGAAATGAGGACACCACCAGAGAGCAATAAGCTGCATTTTTATTGCCTCATCGCTTTTAAATCACGAGATGAACAATTTCATATGATTGATAAGAAATGCATCTTTGGTGCTTGTGAATGACGAAAAGAGGAGGGGAAAAAAACAATCGGCGATCAACTATCGAGCAAAAGTGAAGAAGACACACTGTTTTTTTTCTTTTATTGAAGCTGCTTTAAAACATAAATGATTATGATTTGCGTCAATTGGTATTATCATCCATTCAGTCGGGCAAATCAAAAGTAATAATAATTACAAATGAATACGCATTCCATTATCGAATGAACGAAAAAATAAACGATGTTGATACTGTTTGGCATTTCGATTTCAATTGGCTTTTAGAAATTTTGTTATCATTTTGATGCTTCTACCTAAACAAAACAATTTTCGCCCGTCAGATTCTCTGTTCATACCAAGTCGTCATTCCCCACACTAAGTCGTCATTTGGTTGAAATCACTGTTTTTGCATCACGAGACGTCGAAGAGTGATCAATCAATTCGATCACACGAACATTCTTATTCAAATATTGGCCAATCGCCCAACATTTGAGTCACACAATGATGACATTTCCCGTTCAAAGCAAAAGTTGTGACATTCGAATTGCATCAATTGATAGGAGATTTCCAAAAAAATGTTGATAAGATGATTACCGTCGGTAATTTTCAATCATCGATTGAATTATGTGATTTTTCGAGAGAAAAAATACCGCAAATGAAAACCGAAGCATCTATTTCGATCCATCAGTTCTCTCAGTGCGATTGACCGCTCGATCTAGAAAATGAAATGTCGATGCGTAAATGATATAATGCGGTGGCATCATCCAAGCAACTTGTAATGCAAATGAACGATTTAACGACGTAAATCTATGTTAAATTTAGTCTTATTTTTGTTTTCCTCAGTTTTTTTTTCCTTTTTGTTCATTCATTTTGTTTGTTCGGCTTTTTTCTCTCTCCCGCTCTCAGCTCGAATCCTTTTATTTCCTTAGGACATCCGATTTGTAGTGCAAATCATCAGAATAAATTTTCATGCGATTAGCTCATTTTGAATCAAGCCAAGCGTTTATCAGATGATTCTTATGTTTTTGTTTTTGTTTCACTTGTTTTACAAGTTTTTCACGCGATTCATTGATAAACCTGATGTCGACCAGTTGTTTTGTGTCATTCCAAAAGTAAATCATGATTTATTTGAATGGCGATAAAATGTTACGCATATCAAGTCAGTGCGGCTGTCATCGTTTGTGCGATAATTTCCGATTAATGTTTACATATGTGCGTGTGTGTGCGTGTGCGTGTGTGTATGTTTGGGTGTGTTGCAAATAGCATCATATCAGAAAGTCAAACATCTTTAAAAATCAAATCGACTTTTATGACCGTTTTATTTTGCACAATGTGATAATTCACGTGTGTAAAAAAATCGTTCTATCACATCACTTACGGGGCCGCACACACAACAAAAAATGTTTAAATTGAATGTTAAACGACCGATAAGTGGTTCCACTTCATTTCCATAACCAGCAATTCGGGCTACGAATGTCCAAAAATAAATCATCCAGAAATTGAAATCACTCAATTTTGATACGATTTTGCATAAATTATCACCGCGACGCAGTGATAGACTCTTTAATTATTTATTAGTATTTAGAATATGCTGCATTCATTTTCGGTCGCCGACAATTGATAAGCTGTTTGAAATGTTGAAATTCCTTTCATTTAGTATCTCTGGCGGAATTGTTTGAAATAATTCGCGAGATTTGTTGTTTTGTCGGTCGCATCGTCGCATAAATCACGTAGCTTGTCAACGCAAACAGCACACACACACACACACACATTTTCAACGTGTTTGTATGCGGAGTTTACAGTACATAATCAAGAGAGAGAAAGAATGAAAAACAGGGAGAGAAAGATTCGTCTCATCTGCAGCTAGAGTCAATTAACGCTTTCTCCGAATCATGTTTTATTTAGGATTTGTATTTAGGTCAGTTCGTTACGGAGAACAGCACAACACTGGCTGAGATAATTCAATCATGAACGTGAAAACCTTGAGATCACACATGATTCGTTGACACGGAAAAGTTTTTTTTTCATTTCCATTCTACTGTTGTTGCGGGGAACCCGGTGTGGAAATCCTCTGCCCGTCAGTCGTTCGCATTGGAATGGTTATTGCATTGAAATTGATGGCTAATGTGAGCTTACAGAAGTTCATCGAATCGACGAGAAGAAAGTTCGAAGAAGTGGGAGAAAGAGAGACGAAAAAGAGATGATTTCAGCACGGCAACATACGTGAAAATCGACATGCCCCCTAAAACCGCCATTCCATGTACATTGACGTAATCACAAGATCGATATATAGCCGCGAGTCAATATGATGCCGCTTACTCATCAAATACTCATTTTAAAATTCATTTTTGCGCGTGAGCTCCCTCTCTCGCTTCTCGTGTTTTCTTTTCATTAGTCGCTGAAGAGCGATTGTCACGTAATTGGATCCATCAGTTTGTCATTCGTGCTTGAACTTATTTATGTCATTGTATTGGATAAATATGACACAGAAATAACAGCAAAAAAAGAGAGCAGACTGATGTTCAGTTTGGGAATGAAATGTGCGCTCGTGAGCGCCGAAAGGGGGATTAATGTGCGATATGTCACGTAGTTGCAAGTGCATTGGCATTTTAGTAAGAAAAATGTGATAGAAAAGCGATTAAAAATAACCCATTGTCATATTTGTTTTTATTGTCATTTCATGTTTCAAAGCCATCACCAGAGTTTTTCGATCTCGATGCCTTTTTTTTCTTCTTCCAATAAATTGTTGCCAATCATCAATGTTTCATTTTCATTTCAACTGATTAGATTGGTTGAAATATGGCACAAAATTGATTCATATCACATGATTTGTGCGCTCTGAAATAATCAAAGTGATGAGAACAAACATGTGTTTTAAGGTTGCTGAGCATCTCAGCATTTCGTAAGGCACGGATATATCCGGGCATATCGACGACGCATACTGTATAATACAGTGGCGTGCGTTGCTACGTGCAGCCGCAACGACTCGACCGAAGTGTGTTCAGTTGATGTGGCTGCACGCAGCAACAACATACACATTCCGGTCGAGTCGTTGCGGCTGCGCGTAGCAACGCACGCCACTGTATGCGTCGTCGATATGCTCGGATATATCCGTGCCTTACGAAATGCTGAGATGCTCAGCAATCTTAAAACACATGTTTGGATGAGAATGAGTGAAAAAAACGACAAAAACAGGCAGGCAGCTGAGTTCATGTCCTACACATTTTTGTAAAAGATTCATTTCGTCCAAAGCGAGCAAATCCTTCGGTATTTGTTCTAATTTGATTTTCATGCGATAGGATTTTTATCAGCTTCTATTTGCGTAACACATAGCTGTTTGTCGAATTGTGTATTTGCCTCCAAATCGATTCGGATTTGTTTTTGATAACGTAAATGTAAATAGAGTCGCCAATTTGCTTACGCACGTAAGCGATTTTAATAAAAATCCATATAGTGAACACGTATATGACACCAGATTTGAGCCAATCAGCAAGTTATAGAAAAACAGCAGCAAAAAAATGAATGTACAACATTATCTCTACGTGATGGTTCAACAGCACAGACACTGTGTTTAAACCGATTTACTGCACCAACTCAACAAATCCTACTAATTTCGTAAGACATCCAGCCAGAGCCGCAGCCCAACACCGATATCAAACCACAATTATAAATTGAATGAAATCATATTGAGTTGCATAAACAAGCCATTCATTGGGATTTGCATGCTGCGCACAAAAATATCTATTGACATGTTCAAAGGACGTTAACATTTCATCTTCTAATTCGCATTGAAAGCAAAAGTTTCCAACGGATCTGACGCAGCGCAGCCGATGACAAATTCAATTTGGACTGAAGCTAGGCAACCGTTAAAAGCTTCACATCCAATTTTGACCGTCTCCATTTTTGTGTGGTCAAGTGCTCCGTACTACGTAGTTGCTTAATCACAATGACATTTCAAATGACATGAAGTGAATGTTTTTTTATTATTATTATTTTCAAGCAATTGTTGTGATGATACGCACTTGACATCCCAGATATAAGTACCGAAAAACCGTGTTTCATTCATATTTGTATATTTGTGCCGCTGTTCATATCAAGTGTAATCCGTCGAAATGTTCAAGATTTCATCATCGTGTGCTCGGAAAATTAAATTTTCGTCCGGTTTGATAGCTGCTCGAACATTTTCAGTGTCAAGTGCTTCCTACGACAAATACAAGTAAGTCCATTCAAGTGGAACGAAATTTATAGCGACAATAAATTGTGTATGGTGGTGATTTTGCAGATGCAAAGCATTGATTGTTGGAGGCGGAACGGGCGGTTGTTCGATAGCGGCAAAATTATCATCCAATTACGGTCAACATCAATGTATCATTTTGGAACCGGCCGATGATCATTATTATCAGCCCATGTTTACAATGATCGGAGGCGGTATGAAAACACTTTCACAATCCCGACGCAGTATGTCGACGGTGTTGCCGAAAAAAGCCAAATGGATCAAAGATGCTGCAGCTAAATTTAACCCAAATGCGAATGAAGTGATCACCAAACAAGGTCACACCATTTCATATGATATTCTCATCATTGCCGTTGGTCTGCAGCTGTGCTATGGAAAGGTAATGCGATTGTGTTGTGTTTACTGCATTTGAATGGAAATCAAATCGGATATTTTGTAATTATATGAATAGATTCCTGGTTTAGAGGAAGCGCTTTCGGTTCCAAATGGAAATGTCACATCAATCTATTCGCCGAAATATGTTGATCGCCATTTGAATGCACTAAAAAAATTTGAAAGTGGCAATATATGCTTTACATTCCCAGCATCGCCCGTTAAATGTCCCGGCGCACCACAAAAAATCTGTTACATAACGGAGCATTTTCTACGAAAAGCAAATAAACGACAAAAGGCTCATATTATGTATAATACGTCGCTGCCCACAATATTTGGCTGTAAATATTTTGCTGACGCATTGTGGAAAGTGGCCAACGAACGTGAAATCGAGGTTAATCTTAAAACCAATTTGATCGAAGTTCAGGGCGATAAAAATACAGCGATTTTTGCGAATGTTGATAATCCCAATGAAAGGAAAAGTGTGCAGGTAGGTTTGGGGTTTAATTCCATTTAAGTCGGAATATTGGATTATCAGAAGAAATTGATTTTCCCAAAAGCATTTTGCCTCTAAGATTTATATTCGTTTTCTTAACGTAACGATTTGTTGTCATGTCATATGAGAAATATACTTCTCGCCATGCATACTAATTGGTTTCTGTTTTAAGTATTCAATTTTACATGCAGTTCCTCCGCAAAGCGTCCCACAAGTGCTGCTCGAATCAAAAGATCTGACCAATGAAGCTGGTTTCGTTGATGTTGATAAATCGACTCTGCAGCACGTGAAATACCCGAATGTTTTTGCACTTGGAGACTGCGCTTCAACTCCAAACAGCAAAACCATGGCGGCCATAGGTGATTAGCTCGAAATTGAACTTATCCAAACGAATTGTTAATTATTATTTGGTTTCTTATTGCCAATTTTAGCGGCTCAAGTTGGAGTGTTGCACAAAAACATCACACAATTTTCAAAGGGAAAATCACTCGATTCGAATTATGACGGATATGCCTCATGTCCATTGGTTACGGGTTATGATAGCTGTATTATGGCTGAGTTCGATTATGATCTTCAGCCCAAGGAATCGTTCCCCTTCCGCCAGGACCAAGAACGATACTCAATGTTTGTGGTGAAACGTGATTTTATGCCGCTCTTGTATTGGCATCTCATGCTAAATGGATGGTGGAATGGTCCAGAGCCGTTACGTAAATTTTTCTCGATTTTTAAACTCAATTAATTTACTCATTTGTTTTCAACGCGTTTTTTGAAGACATTTTCAATATTTTTTTCTACTTCAAATCGGATATTGTTTTGTATCGTGTCATTTTAAAATTCTCTATTTTACACGTAACGTAATATCCGTAAAATACATCGCACATGTTTGTACACATTGTAAAGTCGAACAAAAATAAAGTATATTTTTTCAAACTATCAATTTGTGCTGCTTTCGAATTTTTAAGAGGAGCAATGCGTCGATTTTCGTATTTCCCCTTCGTTTAAGCTTTTTTATAGCACACGATGATACCTTACTCTGATCGATGTGCCCTCTCGGATCTTCGATCCCAACTAAAACAATGTGATCATATACACACAACGAGGTCTGTTTTATTATCATTATCTTGCTTGCTGAACGAGCGTGAAAAAAAAACATTCCGAATTATTCACGTTGGAATTGAAACCATTCAAATCGAATGGAAATTGATGTTGCGTGAAATTTTTCGGTTGATATTCGGAAGGGAAACAACAAACAAACACATATACAAAATTCAAAAGCGCGATTTTTCAAGGATTTCGCTATTTTCGTCACTTAAATTTATTGATTTCTCCGACTCTAATCATTTGGAGGCGAGTCATAAATCTACATTCAAAGTATGTCGGTCACAAATATTAATTCTTTCAAATGCCCTTGCTTCACATCCCGTGCCAAAAGCGTGCAAGCATTGAAAAACGATATCACAGCGATACGATAGCAATTTGATTTGGTCGGAGAGAAAGAAGCAGAGGGGGTGAACAGCAACAGCAAAGAGTATGTACGGACTGTGGAGTAGGTGAGTGAGGGAGAGAGAGAGAGAGATACACCTAATTGTGACAAATGAGCCAATGAACTGTGGAATCCAAACCATTTTAAAGTGTGAAAGTTGGATATGGCATGCGCCAGACAGTGACAGCCAATTCCTCCGTTTGAAATGTTCGCCTCTCGTTATAAATGAAATAATCTCTGGATTTTAATCTGAACGCGATTGGTTTTTCCTCCGACAATGTTTTTTCTTCTCTTCTTGTTTTTCGAAATTTGAAATGCAGATAAATTATTGGTTAATTAGCTGAGAGAAGAGAAGCGATGAAAACAACAATAACAACAACAAAAAAAGAAGTAATGACTGAATCGGCGGGCGCGAGAAACGAGTGAATTTTAAATGCTTACGTCAGTTTTATGATGCTTTTTTTCTGCTATTGGGAATACATTGCCTTTCTGCCGAATGCAGATATACACCATCGTTTTTTTTACTCTCTTCATCATTTCGTTCAGTTCGTATGTAAAATAGAATTCCATATATACTCACTTAGTGTACGGTGTTCGGCCATCAGTGTTAAAAATGAACAAATGAAAAATGTGTGCAAATAATCGCGAGCCGAGATGGTATTTAAACAAATATACTAAATTCAAAAAGTCAAGAGAAAGAAAAAAAGAGGCATTGAAGACAAAGTAAAGGCATTTTGCTCGTACATATATTTGCTTTGATCAGATAGTTCGTCGTCATAGTTGTCGTGGATGTTATTTTTTTTGTTGGTGCTGTTGCTGCTCAACTCTCCGATGAGATAGCAATAACTCTTTATTTCTGTATGTGCGCTCTTTTTTTCGTTTTTTGTCAAAGTCCAAATGAGATATTACAATCGTCGTAAGTTGTCTTCTTTGTAAAATTTAGTACATGCACATAGGAAACATTTACTGAATCGTTTAACATTGCTTGTAGGCATGAAATGTGCTAGCCGCGAAGTGAACTAGCAAACTTTAAGACATATGGCCAGTACACACAAAGAACACACACACACTTTTTTCCCCTTCATTCGCTTTATTATTCGCCCAAGTATTATTTGAGGTTTAGATAGAAAAAAACAGCACACATTGAATACGTAGTATCGTGTATGATTGGCAGGAAATATTTGTATGAGTAAAACTTCTATTTATCCATCGAATATGCTAATTTAGTGACCTTGCTGCTTGATTGGTGGCTTTTTTTTATTCCCGCGTCGCATATTTGTTGCGCCGCAACTCTGTTTTTTTTGTTGTTATCAAATAGGCAGTGGTGTGCATTGGGCTGGTGGCATCGACGAGAGGCTTTCGCCCAAGCAGTTTTTCTTCGCTAGCTAAGCAGGTCTTATGGAATTTATTCCAAGAAGCTCTTGATCATTGCTGCTGTACATCGATTTCTTTTATCATAACGACAAAAACAAGTGGAAGATACTAACAAGTCGATTTGAAACAACTAGACAATAATGACGACGATGACGACGACGACTACACAGCATCGCAACAAACGTGTTGATACAACGAAAAATTTGATTTAATTACAATAAACAGTCGTAGAATTCTATTGCGTCGTTTCATTGAAAGAGAGAAGGAGAGAGAGAAAAAGAGAGATAATGAAAATCGAAACATATGAAGAGCTCCGCGCAATAGACTCCGACAAAAGGATGTTCTAACTACGAATGTGTTTTTTTATTACAAACGTCGCAAAAATTCAACGCACCAATAAATATATTTTTTGGAGAAAAAAACACAAGCACATGAAATCTGAAAACGAATCGTGTGTTGTTCCTCTCTCCAAAATAGAAAACCAAGCGTAAAACAACAACAAAAAAGCAGCAAATAGTTTTAGAACAAATGTCAGACTCTCAAGAGAAAGAAACCTCAATTGAAATTGCGTTCATTGCCTCTCTAAATGCGATTCGATTTTGCACCACAGCATATGAGTGTGTGTCTGTGCTCCTTTTGGCTCTTCAAATGTTACAGTTAGATACGATGCGAAAGAGAGAGAGAGAGAGAGAGAGAGAGAGAGAAGACGAAAGCAGCGAACGAAACAGCAAAAATGAAGAATGAAAAACACACATTGTGCATGTGTGTGTGTGTGTGTGTGTTATTTAAATACAAAAGTGTATAGATGTTTCAAAAATCCATTGACTGTGAAAAAATTTGGCTCCACTTGGTAATTCATTTTTTTTGCTGCTGTGTTTTCTTCGGATGCGAACGAATTCGGGGTGGCAACAGCATTTTTGCTGCTAGCAAACAAATCCGCGGATGAAATGCAAAAAAAAACAAGCATGAAACAAAAAATCGACCGTTTTATTTTTGGCTTTACATTTGAAGTACCTAATTTAATACTAGTACATATTTTCTTTTGGATCGAAGCTTGTGAAGCATAAACAGAGAAGAAAAAAATGAAATGAATCGCGGCGAATCGACAAGAAATTGTAGGATAAAAATTCAGAGCGAGTGAGCATTTATTGATTGGAGCGATAGATAGAACTGAAAATGTGAATCGAAGCAGCTATCGAGCATTTGAAGTGATTTTGTGTTTATATCAATTAGGGCTCGCGCTCTCTAGTTCATTCTAATAAATTGAATGTATGAAAGTTTGAAGAAAAAAATACACGCAATACGCGCCTTCGATGCTTCAGTCTATACAACCGAAATAGTAGTAGCCCCGAATATAGATTTTCATTATAAATGGCATATGTCATTTTAGGCTCTGCCATTCTCTGTACAATTTTCGCCTTTTGTCTATTCATAATTCGAAGAATGAACCGATCGCATCCGTTTCATTTCGAATGTGTATCCATCAAATTTGACTGTCGAAAAGTCGAATCGAATTTCCAAACTGTAATTAAAATTAATTGAAGAGTTGAAAGTGTTGCACGAACCAAATAAATAAATAAATAAATATCGCACAGCCTCGGGCCGAAGCTGCTCATCAATAGTTGTATATGTGTATGTTTACTACACTTGTTCTTGCCTTGCTGAGTTCAACGACTTTTCAAAGCTTTCCTTGATCGGATCAAAGTTTGTTATCAGAGAATAATTCACGGTTTTTGCCGTTGCTTTGCGCATCACGCACTCGGATCAGAGATTTCGTTCGTGATCATTCGGAGCCATTCCAATTCTTTTTTTTCCGAAATCAACGACCGAGAGAGAAAAAAAATATAGTTTTTTTTTGAGTATCGGTCAGAATAGTCTATGGTGGCGAGCGACGATGACGAGTGTTTCGTCGATGTGATTTATGGAGAAATGTTTTTTATACTAGCTGAACTGAAATAGAAAATGGCATTTGGGATGAACATTGTTTTCAAATTATATAAAGGTGATTATGGGGAAGTGGCGCGTGTGGAGGCGAGATAACGATGCCTCTCAGACACTTTTGAAATACATCACACACAAAAACTGGCAATATGAAATGCTTATTTATAGAATCGGCTTGGATTTTGACGAGCGTTGATTCTATATCAACCGTCTCCTCTTCAATTCATCTTCGTTCCCTGAAGTTTCAGCCGTTCATGTTGTTATTGTTGTTGTTGTTGCCAAAGATGAGGTGTTTTAATTTCCGAATCCAATGAAACAAAAAAAAATCCTGCCTGCGACGACGCATCTATTTTAAAATCCGAGGAAAAAAACCATAACAATAACGTTGGAATGAATTTCACTTCATTTTGATTATGCTCATTGTTGGTGTTGCGCGTTGGTTTATGTGATTCAAACGTGACATTCAGTCGGAGACAGTGTCCAAATTGCTTTGCCACATACACACACACACACGAAATGTCTTCCCCTTTCGGCTTAGAAGTTCAACAGTACATTTAGTGAACGATAATTTTTGCCGCAGATCAGCCGGGCTTGATTTGTGACTACTTTTTACACTCAACGATCCCATTTCGTGTTTTCGGCTCACTGAAATCATTTTATTTTTTATTTATTGTTGTTATCATTATTTTTGTTTTTAATTTAGCTGCTTTTTGTGATGATGAAAATGAAAACGGCTTCGCACAGCTGAAAAACGAAATGAAAGAAGAAAAAAAAAACATTTGAAGAGTTTTAACTTGCCGGGAAGCGCGTATTAGGTGATTAAAATGTGGTTGTGAAAGAATTTTTACTCGTTCTGTTGAAAGACGGTGTGAATATATGTTTGAACCGATTCTGTTTTTCTTTCGCTTTCCTTCATCGATGATACTGGTAAAATTGAGCCGTAAGACATTCGAATATTTCGTTCGTTTTATTTTCGGTTACATATCAAGAAATATGCGTCAATTCAGCGCATTTTTCGGACTCAAATGTTTAATTCAGACACCGAAGTTATTGCTTTTGCTTCGCCAAAACAAAAATCGATTTATTTGCTGAGTGGGTCCCAATAAATAACGTTGAACACACGTACACACACTAACTAA